GCTCTTTGCAGACACTTCGTTTTTCACAAATTGAAGATTTGTAGCAATCCTGCATCAAGCAAGTCTATCATGCCAGTTTTCCAACAGCATGTGCTAACTTTATATCTCTGAGTCATAGTTTGAAAATTCTCACAATATTTCAAACTTTTTCATTATTATTAGTCTGTTATGATGATCTTGATCAGTGATCTTTGATATTACTATTGTAATTGTTTTCGAGTGCCACAAATCACACCCATATACAACAATGAATTTAGTCGGTAAATGTTGTATATGTTCTGACTGCTCCACCAACCAGCCATTTTCCCATCTCTCTCCTCCTCAGGCCTCCCTATTCCTTGACACACAACAATATTGAAATTAGGCCAATTAATAATTCTATAAAAGCCTCTAAGTGTTCAAGTGAAAGGAAAAGTCCTGCAACTCTCAAGTTAAATCAAAAGCTGTAAATGATTAAGCTTAGTGAGGAAGGTATGTTAAAAATTGAAACAGACTGAAAGCTAGGCCAAATGGTTAATCAAATTGTGAATGCAAAGGAAAAGTTATTGAAGAAAATTAGAAGCGCTATTCCATTAACACACAAATGATAAGAAGACAAAACAGCCTTATTGCTAATATAGAAAAAGTCTGAGTGTCTGGATAGAAAATCAACCCAGCCACAGTATTCACTTAAGTCATTCTATGAAGGCTGAGAAGTGAGGAACTGCACAAGAAAAGTTTGAAACCAGCAGAAGTTGGTTCATGAGGTTTAAGAAAAGAAGCCATCTCCATAATATAGAAGTGTAAGGTGACGCAGCAAGTGCTGATATAGAAGTTGCAGCAAGTTACCCAGAAGATCTAGCTAAGATCATTGATGAAGGTGACTACACTGAGCAACAGATTTTCAGTGGAGATGAAACAGCCTTCTATTGGAAGAAGATGCCATCTAGGACTTTCCTAGCTGGAGAGAAGAAGTCAATGCCTGGCTTCAAAGCTTCAAAGGACAAGCTGACTTCCTTGTTAGGCACTAACGCAAATGGTGTCTTTAAGTTGAAACCAATGCTTATCTGCCATTTGAAAATCCTAGACCCCTTATGAATTATGCTGAATGTACTCTGCCTGTGCTCTGTAAGTAAAACAACAAAGCCTGGGAAACAGCACATCTGTTTATAGTATGGTTTACTGAATATTTTAAGCCCACAGTTGAGACCTACTTCTCAGAAAAAAAAGACTTATTTCAAAATATTAGGGCTCATTGTCAATGTACTTAGTCATCCAAGAGCTTTGATGGAGATGAACAAGGAGATTAATGTTGTTTTCATGCCTGCTAACACAATATCTATTCTGCAACCCATGAATTAAGGAGTAGTTTCAACTTTCAAGTCTCAACTATTTAAGAAACACATTTTATGAAGCCATAGCTATCATAGATAGTGATTCCTCTCATAGATGTGAGCAAAGTAAATTTAAAACCTTCTAAAAAAGATTCACTATTCCAGATACCAGTGAGAACATTTGTGATTCATGGGAGAAGGTCAAAATATCAACATTAACAAGATATTGGAATACTTTGATTCCAACCTTCATGGATGACTTTGAGGGGTTCAGGACTTCAGTGGAGGAAGTAACTGCAGATGTGGTGGAAATAGCAAAACAACTAGAATTAGAAGTGGAGCCTGAAAATGTGACTGAATTGCTACAATCTCATGATCAAACTTGAAAGAATGAGGAGTTGCTTCTTCTTACAGATGATCAAAGAAAGTGGTTTCTTGAGATGGAATCTACTACACTTGGTGAAGATGCTGTGAACATTGTTGAAATGACAGCAAAGGATTTAGAGTATTACATAAATTTAGTTGATAAAGCAGTGGGAAAGTTTGAGAGAATTGACTCCGAGTTTGAAAGAAGTTCTACTGTGAGTAAAATGCTATCAAATAGCATCATATGCTACAGAAAAATCTTCTGTGAGTCAACTGATGCTGCAAATTTCATTGTTGTCTTACTTTAAGAAATGGCCACAGACATCCCAATCTTCAGCAACCAACACCCTGATCAGTCAGCCACCATCAACATCAAAGCAAGACCCTCTACCAGCAAAAAGATTACAACTTACTGAAGGCTCAGATGATTGTTAGCATGTTTAGCAATGAAGTATTTTTTAATTAAGAGACATACAATTTTAGACATAATGCTATTGCATACTTAGACTATAGAACAGTATAAACATAACTTCTATATGCACTGGGAAACCAAAAAATTTGTGTGACTAACTTTATTGTGATATTTGCTTTATTGCATTGTACTGAAAATGAACCCACAATGTCTCTGAGATATGCCTGTAATAGCAGAATCTAAAAGTGAAATTACAATAGGGATTGTAGCCTGGGCAACATAGCAAAACCCCATCTCTACTAAAAGTACAAAAAATTAGCCAGGTGTGGTGATATGTACCTGTAGTCCCAGCTACTCAGGAGACTGAGGTGGGAGAATTCCCTGAGCCAGGGAAGTGGAGGCTGCAGTGAGCCAAGATTGCATCACTGCACACCGACCTTGGCAACTGGAATAAGACCCTGTCTCAGAAAAATAAAAATAAATTAAAATAGGGATTGTTAGAACCATCAAGGAGAAAAAGAAAGGAGGAATATTTGTAGAAATGAATAGTAAATTGTGAAAGAAAACAAGTAAAAAATGAAATAAGAGCAGGCTGATATGAAAAGGGACAAGTTGGAAATTCTGGTAATAAAAACCACAGTATTTGAGTGAAAAACTCAATAAACAGGATTAACTCTGTCTTGGATATAACAAGACAGAGAATTAATACATTAGAAGGTTATATAGAGGATCTTACCCAGAATGCAGCAATAAAGAGTTAAGGAAGGGGGAAAAAACAGGAAATAGCAATTAAGAGATATGGAAGACATATTGAAAAGATCTAATATATGTCTAATAGGAGTTCAAGAATAAAATAGAGGAAAATGTCTGTGAATCAATAGTCAAAGAGATACTATGAGCTTTTCAGATGGAAGAAAATGATATATGTTCTCAGACGAAAAGGTTACATACACCAAGTGCCAAAAAGAATACATAGTAATGAACCTATAACAGGAAACATTTTTCAGTGAGACTACTGAACATTGAAGGTTGAGAGAAAATCTTGAAAGCTTCCAAAGCAAAAAGACAGCTAACCTGCAAGGAAAAGACAGTTAGACTCTCATCTGCAATGGGTGCCAGAAAACAGCGGAAGAATCTTTTCACAGCCAATTATCAACCAAGACTTCTATACCCAGGTAAACTATCATTCACAGCGGAGTAAAATAAATCATTTTCAAGCAAAAAGACTAAGTGTGTTATCACTCACATGCTAAGTCCTAAAATTGAGAAATCATTGATAAATATGATTAACCATTTACTTTAAGTAACTAATGTGTGTTTTTAAAAGACAAATCTAAAAACCTAGATAGTAATACTATGGGAGTGGTATTCAATGAATAGAAAATGCATGGTAAAAGTTCCTTAACCCTTTCAGGAATATAGAGAGAGTTAATCATTCTAGATTTTGTTAGAAATTTTACAATAAATATACACAAAAATTTAGAGGTAATCTCAGAAAATAAAAACTATAAAATAGAAGCCAGAGTCTTATAATGAACAGTCTTGAAAAATCTGTAGGCTAGGACTTGAGTTGTGGAGGTAACGGTTCACTGAAGGCCGCCCATGGCCTGAAAAAATAAAATTTCTCAATATTTTTTTCTTTGCTACTAAAGAAGAACTTAAGCACTAAAGAATCAAATGCCATGAAATTGAATTCAGATACAAATTTAAGTTTTTGCTTTTTAGTAACTAAAGGATTTAAAAGAGAAATTTAACATGGCCTCAACTCTTAAGTTCCTATTGATTATCAGATACATTTATGTAAAAAACAACTTTTTTCTTACTTAACCGTTGATGAGAAGGTGCCACCTGATTTCCAAAATCTTAACATTTTAAATCAACAAAATACATTAACTTACTTGACTTTGAGCCAAGTAAAATGGTTCTCAAGCGCCTTGGACTCTTCCAAGGAAGCTTATTAAGATGCAGATCCTGAGGACACTCTAAGAAACTCGGATTCTGAAGATTGGAAAAGGCTAGGGATTTGCATTTTTAACAGATAGTTCTGACACAGATGATGGGAAGACTACAAATATCTGAAATGTTGACTTAGTAAAATCAAAATAATAGTAAAATTAGCCAGGCAGCCCTGAGGGAATCTTAACAGCAAACATAAAAATTGAGCCACCCATTCTGAAAGACATCCAGGTTGGAACTATGACAATTCTAATTAATGAGTTAAATACTTGTTGAATACTAATCTAGAAATCAAAAGACCTGGTTTCTGTTCCAGTTCGGCTGGTAATTAGCTTTGAGACTTCGGGAGAAGTGGGGGGATTATTTTTCCTCTCTGGGCCCAAGTTTCCTCATCTATAAAATACGGTTAAATTATTCTCTGCCAGCTTTAATGTTCTTTGGCTCTATGAGTTCACATAATGGGATTGTGGGTCAGTAATTAATCTAATCTTTATAGGTTCTTCGAAAGAGGCCCCCCGCCTTATTTCCCCAGGAGATGGCAGTGGGAAAGTACAGCATAGAGAAACCACCATTATGATTTCTGCTTGGAGACAGCATTAACGCTGCAGAGAGGCAGGTTCTGAGTGAGACACCAAATTGACCCTCAGTATCTGATCTCCACCTTCCGGGTTACAAAACTTGTTCTTTAAAAGCTTACCAAATGAATACAGCAAAGGATGGGTAAAGAAAATGCAGTTGATCTCTTCTAAATGCAAATTACCTTGGCAATTATGCAAGCAATTTAAAATAACGAGTTGCAAGCAAGAACAACAACAAAGATTTGATTCCCAAGTTAGAAACTTTCAATGCAGCTGAAAGCTACAAATCCTGGGAGATGCAGGCCCCCAGAGCTGTATGGATGGTGGTAACAGAGACATGTAATGAAACAAACTTCCGAGAAAAACTAGACTTACCTAGTTCTTCTAAGAAAAAAAGAGTTTTTTCTTTAAAAGTGGTCTTTTGTGAGGCTTGGATTCCTCCAGCAATGAATGTAGAGCCAAGCTGTGAACCCAAAGACTGGAGCCCTACACACCTCCCCAGCTTTTACTGTAGAAATCTCTATTTGTTCTGGAATCTCTTTTATCAACACTTCAGTTACTCCTACAGTGTGAACTCCAAACAGTCCTGCTTAAGAAACTATCTGCAAATACCAGAATGGCTAATCCTAAAAATAAGGTGTTAATTGGTCTCTTGGTGATTCCAACCTCAAACACAATAAACTAGTATCCCTTTTTAACCATGGGGGTTTTGCCCCACTGCTAGTCTGAAGTACTGGGTCTTTCTTACCTGAATTTGGCTCTTTCTTTTTCTGCTGCTTTTCAGCTTATGTTTTAGGTAAAAATAAAGGGAAAAGAAACTAGTAAGAAATACAGTGCATCTTTCTCTCTCTTCATCTGACAGTAATTATAGGGTGTTAAACCCAAAGTAAACCAGGTCATACTGTGTCTTCAGGAGGAGCCAAATTAGGAGGGAAGCTTGCCATTCCTGAAGTCTTCCTTATGGACATAGGAATCCAACAATTAAAAAAATTTTTTTTCTTTTTAGAGACAGAATCTATGTCACCTAAGCTGGACTCAAACTCCTAGGCTCAAGGGATCCTCCCTCAGCCTCCCAGGTAGCTGAGACAACAGGTAAGCAGTACACTGGGCTTCTCAGGAATTCACTTTTTTTTTTTTTTTGAGACAGAGTTTCACTCTTGTCACCCAGGCTGGAGTGCAGTGGCATTATCTCGGCTCACTGCAACCTCCGCCTCCCTGGTTCAAGCAATTTCCCTGCCTCAGCCTCCCAAGTAGCTGGGATTACAGGCGCACGCCACCATACCCAGCTAAATTTTTTGTATTTTTAGTAGAGACAGGGTTTCAACATGTTGGCCAGACTGGTCTCGAACTCCTGACCTCAGTCAATTTGCCCACCTCCACCTCCCAAAGTGCTGGGATTACAGGCTTGAGCCACCGTGCCCAGCCAGGAATCCACTACTAAACAATAAGCACCTGTTAGTGCCTCTGGCCCAAATGCCCAGTTAACTGTGGCCCAGTTTCCCTGGGCGTTGACTGAGTGGTTAGCTGGGGCAGAGAGCCAATCAACAAATTAGGGGCATTGATCCTTTTTATTATCTTTGTTTTTATCTGTCACTTCTGACCTGCAACAACATCCCATTGTCAGCTCAGATTCTGGAGCATTTAAACCTTTTGCCTCCCACTGAGAAAGCGTTTTTCTAATAAGGAAGTAGTGTGACTGCAGAACGGTAATACAGTAGGAGGGATCTCCCCCGGTACCCATCACTCAGAGACAGACTGGCTCTGGGTTCTACTCCTAACTTCTCTCATCATTTGTACTACTATCCACAACCATCATTTCAGAGAAATTTCTCTGCTTCGGTATATACAGGAATTTGACCTGGGATTTGTGTGAAATATTTATATTGTTTTTCATTTGGGTAGATGGCACTAGAACAATGCAGTTCCCAATTTCCTTGTGCTGTTCTCCTTTACTTACAAGCAGGACAGGAGCGGAGAATTAGAGGAAAGGATTTCACTGAGTGGTGACAGTCTTTCCTCCAAACTTTCCATGGCAAACACAGTGTTGATATGTACTTGTGAGACCCTCCTAGGGCTGCATGTACTTCCTGATGGGCCTGGCTGCCAAGCTGCCTCTTGTGGGACTGGCCTGGAGCCTCTAGAGCAAGGGTCAGGAGACAGGATACAGGGTTTATGTCGCTGTCCGAACTGGGAGCACAGACCGAGCTGCCCTACACTGGGAACTGAAGGCTCAGACATTACTTCACATCTCAGCAGAATGATGCAATGATCGCTCTGCTGCAAGTTCTGCTAAACAGCTCAATGTTTGTTTCTCCATCCTCAGTAATATTCTTGTCACTGAGCCAATGGCCTCATCAAAGGAACTAAGCAAGGATCCTATAATAGCCTTTTTTCAGTTATTGGTAATAACAGTAATAATTATGGGCTCCCTATAACAAGCCCTGTGCAAAAGCCATAAAAGGGAAAAATGGCCCTGTTTTTCCAGCATCCCATCTTCCTAAAGATTAAGTATTTCTATATCAACCATTCAACCGTTCACTGAGCAGTCTTCATGAGAATGGCAATATGCTGGGTGTTGGGTTTGCTGGTGGATGAGTTCAACTCATCCCTGCTCTCAAGGAACTTACAAGACACCATAGAGGGCAGATGGATACGGAAAAACTAGATTGTCCTAAGTGCCACTGGGGAGACCCAGAGCCAGATGGAAGGCAAGTCCATTTCTGTTTTTGTTTTTGTGTGTGTGTGTGTGTGGTTTTTTTTTTTTTTTTTTTTTTTTTTTTTTTTTTTTTGAGACAGAGTCTCACTCTGTCACCCATGCTGGAGTGCAGTGGCACGTTCTCAACTCACTGCAGCCTCTGCCTCCCGGGTTCAAATAGTTCTCATGCCTCAACCTCCTGAGTAGCTGGGATTACAGGCACGCGCCACCTCATCCAGCTAATTTTTGTATTTTTAGTAGAGATGGGGTTTTCCCACATTGGCTAGGCTGGTCTCAAACTCCTGACCTCAAGCAATCCACCTGCCTAGGTCTCCAAAAGTGCTGGAATTACTGGTGTGAGCCACCGCACCCAGCCAAAGGCAAGTCCATTTCTAGCTGAGGAGGGGCAATCAGGAGTTGGGCTGTGTTGAGTTATCCTTGTGCATATCTTGTACTCAGGGCTTATTTATCTCTATTAGAACCCAACGAGCTGGTGGTGTAAACATCGTCTCTTCTCTATATCAGAATGTAACGGAATAAGTTTTTTATCTAAAACCTCACTTGGCGTAGTCTTTATGTTATTTCCACTGTGATAGATGAAAGAAAAAAGAGCAGTTTAGAATGACATCTACTAATAAACCTCACTGGTCATTCAAGATCTAGTTTCACTTGAAATCTGAAGAGGATTTCTGCCAGAGAATCAAGGCCTGTGGTTATCTTCATTTCTTTACCATAACTCCCCTGCATCCTTCTATCAGCAATGTACTCTCAACACACCCCCAGTTTCCTCTTCCCACTGCCTAAAACCTCATTTCCCAAAGACGTATCCTGACAACTCTGCCCAAGAGGCCCTTCCGACCTCTCACCCATCCTTTCTCTATAAGAGCAGCCTACCTGTTTCATTCACAAAATATATCACCATTTGTAACTTTTTTTTTTAACACAGAGTCTTGCTCTGTTCCCCAGGCTGGAGTGCAATGCCACGATCTCGGCTCACTGCAACCTCTGCCTCCCAGGTTCAAGCAATTCTCCTGAGTACCTGGGATTACAGGTGCCCGCCACAATGCCCAGCTAATTTTTATATTTTTAATAGAGACAGGGTTTCACCATGTTGGCCGGGCTGGTCTTGAAGTCCTGACCTCAGGTAATCCTCCCACCTTGGCCTTCCAAAGTACTGGGATTACAGGCATGAGCCACAGCACCTGGCTGTAATGTTTATTTTCTTATCAGCAATCTTCCAGAACACACTGTAAGCTCCTTAAGGACGGAGGTTCTTTCTGTCACAATGCCCATCATATAGCAGATGTGAAAAAATTCTTGCATGAATAAATTAGTAAATAAATAAACAGTAGCACTACTACTTGAGGAAAGTCCTCACAGCGCTCTAGACCATGGTTGCCACATCAGTCAAATAAAAGAACTCAAAACAAGGATCCAGACTGACTATACTATGATTCCAGGACTTGGTAAAATCAGCACTAGTGCTTCACCAGAAAATGTGGAGCGTCTCTGACCTCAAGGCAGTTTTCCTAGTAGAAAGACATAATAGGTAATGGATGGAAGGATGTTCGGTATTATTATCCCACTTTATAAAAAATGAAGATGCCTAAATACATTTTGTGTCTGTCAAGAAGCCAGGAAACTTAAAAAGAGGCTCCTCCACACATGCAAGTAGATTGATTCAACCTGTGTCAGCAGCCAGGGGCCCTGGAGTCAGCCCCTCCACTGGAGGACACTAGCAAGAAGATATTTGCAAAATACTTTTTCTGATGGAGTCAAGAGAACCTCTGGTCTAACCCATGAGCTTGCATTAGTGCCTCAGCTCAGCCTAACTTTAGCACCATCTTATAGATCCTGAAAGTGGGTGGTCTGGAGATTCGCTTCTAAACTGCCTCAGATTCAAGCAAACTCCACATTCGTTTGAAAGACAGAGGCCAGAGGGACTGGCTAGATCAGGGAGGTTGGTAAACACAGTGCCTTTTTTTTTTTTTTTTTTCTTTTATCAACAGGAAATACAAGCTCTGGTTCTGGATGAAAGGGAAAAAAATCATTGAAAGTAATTTATATCTGAAGCTGTTTAGTGGTGTCATCCTAATTTACAACAGAACCAGTTTCAAATTTAAAAAAAAAAAAAAAAAAAGCAGGCTTTTTCTGTTTCCTGTTAGCAAAGAACACAGGGTTATTAAAAAAAAAAATCCACTGGATTTTCCCAAGTGTTGATAAGGTTTGGAATCCTGCAGTTCTCATGAGAAGAATTCAAACCTCCTAATTAAAAGTTTTGTTCTCACAGTCAAATCTTGAGCCTGTGCCGTTTGGCTCCACTTCTCTATGGTTAATTCATTTTGATCTTCCTCCAAAAGATAAATTGACAGTGTGGGACAAACCCTTATCAGAAGTTTATTAATGATTATGATTTCTGGTTTTGAAAGGAGAAGTATTTTGCTGTAACATACTTCACCTCATACGGAACCCAGGGCATACCTGGCTATGAGTGAATACACGTTGAATGGAATCTTCCCTGGATTAGTGACAATTGTTCATCTCTAGGGCTAGCCAGGTAGGGAGAAATGGTTTATTAAATAGATTGTGTTTGGGCTCAGGTTGAATATAGTGACAGGAAACTGAAAATAGTCCTGACATTGGATGACTTGATATTTTTCATAATTTTAAACAGATAATTCAGATGCTGGTGTTTTGGAATGCTGCCCAAAGATCTGCTCTCCATATAAGCAAACTATAAAATGCAAACTAGGGCTATGATGAACCACCTACCTCTTTCCCTGAGGCAGACTTCATACTTCCTGAACCAAAATACTTGTCTGACCACAATATTTAATATTTGGAATTGGGACTCTCCCAGAAATCTGGGACATATGGTGAGGACCTGAAGCCTGTAGTCAAATTGGAGTTTTCTTGAATATTTGGTTAAAATTTGAATATTTTCAAGTCCAGTCCGCTTATAACTTAGTGTACTAAGTTGTACTCAAA